CATTTGGGGCCCTCCAGCCACCATGTCTCCCTGCCATGATGGACTCTGATTCCTCTGGAAACATAAGCTCAGATAAACTGTTCCCCAAGAAAGAAAAAGTGAAGCGTTTGCTTTGAGTCTCATGGAAGACCTTAGATTCTGGACTTTTTAATAGTATTGAGACTGATAATGACTATGGGGACTTTGAAAGTTGGACTAAATGTATTTTGCATTTTATATGATCATGAGTCAATGGGGGCCAGAGGGTGGAATGTGGTGGTTTGAATGAAAATGTCCCCCAAAAGCTCCAAGTATTTAGACATGTTTTCCTCAGTGAGTGGTGCTCACTGGGAGGTTTTAGGAGGTGTGGCCTTGCTGGAGGAAGTATGTCACTGGGGGCGGGCTTTGAGAGTTCTTAAGCCTTGTGGCATTTCCAGTCAGTCTTGGTTTCCTGTGCCTGCTTGAAGATGTGAGCGCCTCTCTATCGGCTCCAGCCACTTCCTGCCCCCTGCCTCCTCACCATGATCAATTCTGATTCCTCTACAACTAAAATCTTCCTTTTATAAGTTCCCTTGGTCACAGCAATAGAAACGTAACTAATATACCACCCCACCTCATGCTGCCCTGTTTAACCCCGAGGAGCACAGTGGCACCAGCAGCTTATCTAACAGACATATATGTTCATCTTACCGTTAACACTTTCTCCTTCCCATGCAGAGAGAGAACTAACAAGCCAGGGAGGACCTAACACAATTTTTCATACAAAAGTTACAAGCCCTGATCCAAGGCAAGACCCTGCCATAGTGTGTGAAAGCCCCTGCTGACCTCCTCCTGTCAGACCCCTTTATTCTGGGCTCCACACTGACTCAAAAGTCTCAGACATCTAGAAGCCACATCTTTCAAGCTCGCTATATAAACAAGTACCACACAGGCCTGACCATGGGTTGGGCCTCCACAACCTAGAGGATCACAGGCACTATCTGCTCAGCCTGTAGTACATCAAATTCTTTCTCCTGTGACTGCTGGAGGAGTTCTTACTTGCCACTACCCTGGTCCCTCTCTTTTCATGAAAGCCCATTTGTAGCTTGAGGAGAGAGCTAGCAAGCTTTGCCTAGGGGCCGCTCTGTTTATCACAGCAGAGAAAGACCTTCCAGGTATCTGAGGGTAAACTCCTCATGGGTTTTCAAGTGGGAAAGGTGGGCTGAAGGCTTGGGGGTGCTCACCTCTCTTTTTTTGTCTACAGACCACCAATACCCTGCAACCGCAACAGCCAGCATGGCAGTAGTATATCTCCAACAACTCTGTCCTCTGGCTATCACAGTGGTGGCCTGGGGGCACCTAAGAAGCCCCCAGTGGTGGGGACGTAGCAGGGGGTCTCATGTATCTGAAAACAGGGACACCTAGGGCCCTATCCCAGCTGGAGGGCCCTGTAGAGGGTAATGTAACTCAGAGGGAGAATTGGGCCCAGAGAAGGGGAGAAAGTGTTGGAAATGCTTTGTCCCACTTCCTTCAGAAACACTAACAAAGACTAGTAGACAGAGCAGGTGACAGGAGAGAGGTATATCGAGTTGACAGAGATGCCACAGGGGCCATGGGGCCACCAGACAGAGCCTGGCTGTAAGTGCAGTGCCTGGGGTACGGCTGTCACTTGTAGGCACCGACCTCTTAGAGTACATGTGGTTATCTGTGTTCTCAGAGAGCATGGCCTTTGAATGTCTGTAAGTCAGTCCGTGGGGATCTCAGCCCAGGGATACTGCCTGACCCTGGAGGCTCTTGTGGTCTGATGAAGATAGAAATGGCTGTGCCAAGGGGCAGAGAAGAGCCAAGCCTGCCCTCCCCTAGTCTGTTTGAGCAGAGCAGTCTATGGGGTGTCATGAGTTATCCCCAGTCCTTGTTTTTGGTGACATTTCTTATGTTCTAAAGGCCTTTCCTTCTGCTATCTTTTTTGATTTTCACAAAAGTCATCAATTTTGCTATAATGAAGAATTCAGGATGACAACTGGGAGTCAAAGAGGCAGGTGGGGACTTTAGAACAGGACACATTTCAGCCTAGAGTGCACCAATCCCCCCTGCATGATCAGGGCTTTGAGGAGCAAACAGACCTCTTAACACACAGGCTTAGATTTCCGTGCCCACGGTAAGTGCACTTAACCTGCAAAACTCCATTTCATCTGGCGACACAGGTGTAAAGGGTGATGTAGACTCAGTGTTCGTGGAGCCTAAAGAGGCCTCAAGCAGAGATAGAAAAGCGATGATGAGAGAAATCTGCTCATGACACTCCTGGCCAGTAGATTCAGGGCTAGTCATCACAAGAGGGGTGCAGTGGGGGGATGGTCAGGACTGCACAGTCTGAAGGCAATGCAAAGGTGCCCTGGACCCTCTTACGTATGTGTATGTGCATGTGCATATGTAGGCTAGAGAACAACTTCAGGCATTACTCCCCAGGCACTGTCCACTGTTATTGTTGTTTTGAGATTGGGACAGGGTCTCTTGCTGACCTGGCACTCACTGATTAGGCAAGGCTGGCTGGAAAGCTGGGCCATAGATCCTCCTGTCTCTACTTCCCCATGACAGAATTAAAACTATACACCGCCATGCCTAGCTTTATTCTCTCCCTACAGGTTTTGGGGATGGAACTCAGGTCCTCAAGCTTGCCATAATGAAGAACTCATGATAACAACTGGGAGTCCAAGAGGCAGGTGGAGACTTTAGAACAGGACACATTTCAGCCTAGAGTGCACCAATCCCCACTGCATGATCAGGGCTTTGAGGAGCAAACACACTTCTTTCTTTTCTTTTCTTTCTTTTTTTTTTTTTTTTTTTTTTTTTTTGGCCTGGAACTCGCTATGTAGACCAGGCTGACCTCGAACTCACAGAGATCCACCTGCCTCTGCCTCTGAAGTGCTGGGATTAAAGGCGTGCGCCACCACGCTTCGGCAGCACATATACTAAAACTGGAACTGTACAGAGATTAGCATGGCCCCTGCGCAAACACACCTCTTAACACACAACACACAGGCTTAGATTTCCATGCCCACGGTAAGTGCACTTAACCTGCAGAACTCCGTTTCATCTGGGGACACAGCAAGTACTTTACCAACTAAACCCTTTACGTTGTGTTTCTGACTCCTTGTGAATCCAGGTGCTTTTAGGGAGGGTGTGTGCTAAGCTCCCTTCAATGGCCACGATTCCCAGCTCTGTCCTCACAGGTTCTCCCCACTTGCCCTTGTTCCCTGCAGTCGACTGGAAGCAGCTGACTTTGTGACCCTTGGATAGAAGGCTCCATCTTGTAGCAACCTTTCAGCATGGGTGGACCTTATAGAGCTCACCTATGATGTTTAAAGGACATCATGTGATCAGTGGAAGTAGATAAGAGGAAGAATTTACTAGGTCTGATGGTCTGAAGAAGGAGAGGCACAAGGCGAGGCTGAGGGTGACAGTGGGTTTGGCTGGGTTAGCGGCATGTAAGTTGGTGGCACAGGGTCCACAGGGCAGAGACGACAGTAAGTTCGACCTTGAAACGCTGAGTGTGGAGATCCTATGAAACAGCCATGCAGAGATGACAGGAAGGCATCCCCAGAGGAGCACCCACAAGTTCAGGCTGGAGATGGATGTAGGTGCCACCAGCAAATCAATGGAACGGGTCATGGGAATGGAGGCAGTTGTCCAGGGAGTGTTATGGAAGAATGTTCCAGGGACAGATCCCCGGGGACACTGACATTTAGGAATCAATCACTGGATGAGAAATGGGCAAAGGGGCCCTCTGAGTCTAAAAGGAGGGAACTGGGCAAGCCCAGCAACAAAAGAAAAAAGGGGGAGTTTTCCAAACAGGAAGGAGCTGCTTAGAGCATCTTGACCTTGGCTGTACCTTCTCCTTAGTCTTTATAAATTTCACATGCTTTGAATACTACATTAATTATACCTTGTTTCATTTTCAAAGTGGTTATCTGATAGATGGTCCCTTTGAGAAACTTGATACAAACTTGCATGTGTGATTGAGAACCTTGCTCAGGTATGAACCTCCCCCGACCTTATCACTCATGTCACCCTGGGGCTGAGGGTGCTTAGCAACCATGTACCAACAGATGATCCAGGTGTCAAGTAGATCCAGAGCACCACGGGGTGCAAGGGCCATGCCGTAGGCTCCAGGACTGGCTTACCTGGCACTCTCAAACGTGGCAGAAGCCGTCTTTTCTACAGCCCCAAATCCAACTCCAACAGCGAGACCCTCTGAAATAAACACAAGAAGATACAAGAGATTAGAAATCGCTTCCCAGTGAGGAACACTGTGTCAGGTAAAGTGCTTCGGGCTCCAAGTAACAGAAGGTCAACGTAACAGAAGCATTTTTTAACTAGGCTCGAAAACATCAGCCCACTCCATTTGATGTGTGTGTGTGTGTGTGGGTGTATGTGTATGTGTGTGAGAGAGGTGGTTTAAATTGACTGTCAACATGATGGAGTTAGAATCACCATGGAAACAGATCTCTGGGTGTATTTGTGAGGGATTAATTAGATTGGTTAATTAAAGTGGGAAGACCCACCCTAAAAGTGGGCAGTACTTTTCCATGGGCTGGTGGTCCCAGGCTGAATAAAAGGAGGAGGTGAGCTGAGCACAAGCATCCATCTTCCTCTTCTTCCCAACTCTGGATGCCATGTGACCAGCTGCCCCCACCCCCACCAAAATAGACTAGTTCTTGGATTATGTCCATATAAGAAGAAAGTGGAAAGGCTAAACCTATCCTTATCAAATCTGTGTCTTACAACTTGGGAAGAGAAGCCTTCCTGCCACACCTCCATTATACTCCTGGGCCAGACCAAGGACCAGCGCCCACTGGCACAGGACCCAACAGGGAAGGTAAAGATCCTTCGATCTAAGAGGGAAGGAGAATTACCAGTGCTTATCTGGGTCAAGATCATGGGCTTCTTGGGCCACAGTGGAACTTTTTTAAAATTTATTTTTATGTTATGTGTATGAGTGTTTTGCCTGCATATATGTAAGAGCACCATGTACCTGCAATGCCTGTGGAGGCCAGAAGAGGGCACCAGAACCCTTGGAACTGGAGTTGCGGATGGCTGTTAGCCACCAAGCTGGGAATCGAACCTGGGTCCTCTCGCAAGAGTAGCCAGCGCTCTTAACCGCTGAGCCATTTCTCCAGCACCAATACAGTAGAACTTTTTTCTGGAGAAGGCAAAATCTACTGAGTAAAGGAGCTGTGTTCCTTCATGGTTTTCTGTTCAAATGACTGTTTTCCTTTCCTCGTGTCTTGTTCAGTTGGGGTGGGCCAGAGATAGAGGGACCGAGTGATGGAGTCCAGAGGCACACGGAGACAGGTGAGGGAGAAAGAGCTCATCTGAGACCTAGTATGAGTCTCCAGGAGACAATCGTGGAGTCCAAAGTGCTTGCCAAAGTGTAACTAGTTCTTTGGTGCCTCACTTTACCCTTTGTGCTTTCTCTCCTCTGGGGGCCTTATGTGGTTCCTGTGTCATGCTAGGCTGTGGACAGTTACCTTTGTTTTGTCTGTGTAACTTGTTATAACCTCTTTCTTCTTTGAAATCTGTGCTCCTTTGGAATATGTCACTCATATTGGGCTTAAAGTAAAAAGCTTCATTTTAGGGGGGCTGGAGAGATGGCTCAGTGGTTAAGAGCACTGGCTGCTCTTGCAGAGGACCTGGGTTCAACTCCCAGCTCCCACATGGTGGCTAACAACCATCTGTAACTCCAGTTCCAGGGGATCGGATGCCTTCTTCTGACCTCCTCGGGCATTGCATGACATGGGTGCACTTACACACGTGCAGGCAATACAGTAATATACATAAAATAAAAATAAAAGTAATTTAAAGAAAACCACAAATTTCATTTTAGTCTTTGAGGTACCTGCTCATCTGCTGGTCCCCATGTATTAGTCACTTTTCTGTTGCTGTGAAAGAAACACTGACCCAAGAAATTTATAGAAGGAAGAGTTTATTTGAGCTTACAGTTCCGTTCCAGGGGAATTACAGTCTGTCATGGCAGGGAGGCATGGTGGCTGGAGGTGGCTGGAGCAGAAGCAGCAGAAGCTAAGCTCTCACATCATCATGCAGGCACAGGAAGCAAGAGAGCAATTGAAGATCTCTAAACCCACCCCCAGTGATGTGCTTCCTCTAGGATAGCCATACCTAAAACCTCCCAAAACGGTACCACTATATGGGGACAAAATGTCCAAATACTTGGAGCCTATTGGGGACATTATCATTCAAACCATCACATTCCACCCCCTGGCCCCCATAGGCTCATGACCACATAAAATGCAAAATGTATTTAGTCCAACTTTAAAAGTCCCCATAGTCATTATCAGTCTCAATACTATTCAAAAGTGCACAGTCCAAAGTGGACTCAGGTAAATATCTTAACTGTAAGCCTCCATAAAATCTAAAGACAAATTACATACTCCCAACATACCTTCTAAAACTTCCCAAAACAGCGCCACCATCTGGGGACAGAATGTTCAAATACTTGGAGCCTATAGGGGACATTCTCATTCAAACCATCACACCCCACTTTGTCAAGCGTCTCTTTCAGGATGACAACGGGTTCCCACTAGGGCCTGTTTCAAAATCTTCATCTCTCTAGAGTTCTTTCCCTTGGAAAGTAGGGGGCTGGCAGCTTTGTATGCTAGGCTTATACATGAATTACAGATAGGGACTGTATTTCCTGACTCCAGGACAGAGAGCAAGAGTGATAGGATGCTGGTTTAGAAGCCCAGGTGACTTCTGGTTCTGAGAACTAGGACCTTTGGTATCCATAGGTGTCTGTTCTTCTCCTCCTCCTGAAATTCCCACCAGGAGTAGAAGCTATAGCTCTAGGAAGAGGTTTGGGTGTTCACTATTTGACGAGCTGGCTGATGTATCTGACTGGCTTCCAAACAGGGCAGGCAGGGATGAAACTCCTACATGAGTGTCTGATGCCGGGGAGAGAGGAGGTCAAGGCAAGCTGCGGTGGGGAAGACTGGGGTTCTGGGCTGCCTTGCCATGAGGAGGAGGGAGCCTCTTTCTGCAGAGAGCTGCTCACACTCATGCCCATGAGAAGACAAAGAAGGCATCTGTGCTGTTGCCCCAAACCAGCCTCTACCTTCATACCATCCAGAGATGGTATACTGTACCAGCCTGTTGTTCTCTGCCACGATCTGCACTACAGCTGAGACCCTCCAAACCACTGCCATGAATAACAGGGGGTCTTTAGGACATACATCTCCCCAAGGACCTCTTGGTCAGCTAGGGACAGGTGTTAAAAGGTGGGGAGACACTAAGGCTTTTTACTGACCCCAGACTTGGATATTTCCTTTTCCCTTTGGGGGCAAAACTGCTCTTTTAAGCCATAAACAACAGCTGTTTGGTTCTTTTGTTAATGGGTTTTTCTCTAATTAGTCATTGTAATATAAATCATAGAGCAGCCCAGAGCAAAGGGATGGAAGTTAATTAGCAAAATAATGTCTGAGAGGGCTTAGCACGCAGCCCCAGCACTTTGACATATGCACACACACAGCAGCTTCCATATGGGACAAAGGGCCCAGTGCAAAGCGACCCAGCTGTGGAAGGGGGAGGGCAGGGTGAACCTGTGACCATCTGTTCTAGTCCCAGAGTGCCTCTCCACATCCAATTTGTTACCTGGGCTCATGGCTCTTCCCTGGATGTGATATGACCCTACCTATGGGCAGCAAACACTGGCTTCTACAATTCTGGTCTCTACAGAGGTACAAGGCAGAATGAATGCTTCTGCCCCCAAGTGGGAGGCCAGGCCAATAGCAGGGGGCCCGTCCACAAAGGAGTGCTCTGTGATGGCTTCCAAAGTGCTAGGTCCTCTCCTTTCTGCTCTCTTGCAGACTGGAGGAAGGAGGCCACCACATACGGCCTCAGAAGCATGGGGCTGACCTTGAAGGTGGCCATGGCCAACTCAAGTCCCCACTGCTTTGAGCAAGGGAAAGCAGTCACAGGAGGAGAGAAGGATTTGCTGCCGTACTCAAAGACGGGAAGTGGTATCGGGGGTTAAAATGAGTGAGAAGCTAAGACAAATTACACTCACAGAAAGAACATAAATTAGAAGAGGGGGGAAGACAGTAGAAGGGACCCACCAGGGAAGAGAGGACGTTAAGTTGCTGGCCCCGCAACTCCTACCCCAGGTGCTACAGTAAAAGTGCAAACGAGGAAGGTAATTAAGACAACATACCCCTGTGCCTGGAAGGTCATTAGTATGCTCTGGGCCATTCATTCATTAGTATGCTCTGGGCCATTCGTTCAGGTGCAATGAGAGAAAATAAACCGTGGGGCCTGGAACACTAAGGCTGGCTGATGGCAGGGGAGCCATGTCCAGGACAAGCTGAGCACTGAAGCTGATGCGGCCACAGCCATCACGACCTTTCCTCAGGGTCGGGACGAAGCTGCCACCCCTCACCACCACAGCATCCTTCCTCCATCTCCACCTCTCCTTGGTCTCCATGGAGGAAAAGAGTAAATGGGGCCTTTTCTCGAAACAGACCTGAGGTCAGATCCTACTCCATTACTTACGATTCTTGCAGAAATGATGCTTACAGGACGATCATGTTAAATGCAACACGTCTGTACTCAGAGCAGATTCCTGGATACTGATACTGTGCAGGGATGATCCTGGGTATCTCAGGGTGTTGAGCAGCGTCCCCGACCTTTACCCACTATGTACCAGTAGTAACAGGTAAGATGTCTCCAGAAAGTGCCAGATGCCTTGTGGGGCTGGTCAGAGTTGGCCTAAATTCACTAGGGTTCATAACCAGCGCCTGGAGCACGGCAGCTATTCGACCCATGTTGCTCTTCCTCTTCCAGTGATCAATACCTACAACAGAAGTTCAAGGTGTTCCAGAAGATGCTTGGGATTCTGTAACAAAACACCATGGACTGAGTGGTCTATAAACAAGAAAGGTTTATGTCTCAGAATTCCAGGATCTGGGAAGTCCAAGATCAAGCCTTCAGTGTCAGGAGGATCATTTCCTGGTTTATGTAGAGCCTCCACCTTGACAGATTCTCATGTGGTGGACAAGGCCAGGAGTTCTCTCTTGAGGCACCAACTCATTTCTGAAGACGATTCTGAAGACTTTATCACCGTCCCCCAGGATCTGCCTCCTAAACCATCATACTGGGGATCATATACATTTTGGAGGGCCTAAAACGTTTGTGCCACAGCCACTGGCATTCATGGATATTGGCAATAGGTGGATGGGAAG